GCAGACTGATAATAATAAACAATAAGTGATTATCTTTTTTTAAAGCAAAATCATAGCCATTCTGCTATTGTTTTATGCAGTTTCTGTCCACTGGTTATAATTTTATTTTTGATAGTTATCTAAATGTTATTTTAAGTTGCTGTATATGGGTTTTATCCAACAGACTTGCTCAGCTGATGGTAAGGCTTCCATCAGCAAAATGAGGAGGGAAGCCATTATATATGTGTGTGTGTGTGTGTGTGTGTGTGTGTATTTCTCCTTCCCCTTTACAGTTCTCCCACCCCCAAATTGGCTCAGAGGATTTGGGGATATTCCAGAGAAGATTCCTGGATAGTGTGGGGGAAGGATGTAGGGCACAGGAAGAACTGCTCCCAATTGCTTCCCTCTTTGTAACACCGATGAGAGACTTTGGCTGAGTGACACCACTGGATGCCACCCTGCATTTTTAATGGAAAGGCAAGATATAATTTTACAATGAAAACTAAAAAAAATAGATAAATAAACACCTTCCAAATGGTAAAAAGTCAGGGTGAAGGAAATCTGAGGGAGGCAAATGGTAGACAAAATGATGTGCTAAGTCTCCGTCTCCATAAAATCCCCCCCATCTCTAAATTAATGTTATCAGGCACATACGTGTTTGGGAACCCAATGTTTTCCCCTTGTAACATAACTCTCCTGTAAGGCATGTAGAGCACTGATGGAGTGACTTTTATTTTACATGTTATTTATGTCACTGCTACACTCAAGTCGATCCAAACCAGAAGTGCAAATACAAAAGGGACAATTGGAGGGAAATAAATCCCAAAGCTCAGTGGTCACACTGACAAGTGATGAGTACAAGGATAAAGCTGACAAAAAAAAAAGAAAAGCTTTCGTCTAACTGATATTTATAGCAATGTCAGATGTGAATTGCATTCTTATCAGGAGACACCAAGCAAACTACTGTTAAACTCTGCACCGCCACCAAATAATTCAGCTTTCTAGCAAAGAACTACCAAACAGTTCTGGTGTTTATTTGGGAGCTGACAAACTTTTGGAAACAAGGATCAATGGATTAATTTGGAAGCAAACTTGAGTACTTGGCTCTGTTGCACAGTGAATAGTTATTACTATATAAAACATGAAACGATCACTAAAAGCTCCTGGGCTTTTTTGGTCTTGGTAATAAGCAAGAAATTACACACACACACACACACACACACAGTGGAGGAATTAACTGACAAGGCAGACTTATGGATGAATAACCATAAGCCAGTTTCTTTACTGAAGTTAGCAGTGCAGTCAATTCACATGCTCTTATAAGTATACTGAGTCTTTTTAAAAAAGTATTATAGTATTTGAATAATGGAAAGAAGATTCCAATTAAGTCTTAGCTTGAGAAAAAAGGACCACTCAGTACAATGTGAATTGTCACTGAACTGTTGTTCTGTGTGGAATGTAGGGCAGGATCTGCAGATATTCCCCTTCACTTTTCTTTTCACACCCACTGTTTTTCCCAAAACAATAATTTCCATCATGCTGACCTCCCGAGTCTGTTACTATGGGACGTCTGAGTGATTAGCATGGCCCCCAAATGCACTGTACTGATTCATGTGCTGCATTATGGTGAGCATGTGGATCCTTCTCCGGAACAGTTATGCTGTCTTGCTGGAGTTATAGCCAATGTCTACAGCTACCCAACCATGAGATCCTGTGATCACTGTTATCCATCTGTTCCATCATCATTATGACAGCAAAGTTCGCTGCAATTTTAGAGGTCAATGTAGAATGGGAAAGAAGTATTATGTGAAATTACAGTGATAGAATAAGAGGATAGGTTTCTGGCAGACCGCTATAATCCAAATGGCAAATGCATTAAGAAGAACCAGAGTGCAAGCGGAATGTTCATAGTATGACCCTATAAAACCTTATGAAATTATGAGGAACTATGCACCCCAAGAAGTAGTGCCTTAATGCCGGTAGAAATCAAAACATCAAAAAGCTCCTTCCCTTAAGCCAATGACCCTTCTTGAAGTTTTATACAAAACATATCAAAAGAACCCCAACCCCTCCATCCTTATCTAGCTCTCTAGGCAACATGCATCCACAGCTAAAACAATTCCTTGACTTGATCCCTTGGTTTTGAACACAGTGTAGTGCAGCCCTTCTGCCTTCCTGTAAAATCAGAGAACAATGAGGGCAAGACATTCTTTGTTGTATCTGAAGGGCACAGGCTAGGAGTTAACAGGTACAGGGGGTCCTGATATTCCAGGTCTACAGCCACCAGCAGGGCACCCAGACTCTAAGCTTTCAATTTTTAAAAAAGTAAATCTCCCGAAAGAAAGCTTGATATCATGCTCTTGTTTTCGTTTCTGCCATGTATTTTGTGTTCTCATTTTATTTTATTTTTTGTTTGAAACGTCCTGTGATCTTTGGGTGAAGGGCAGCATACAAATTTAATAATTTAATAAATAAATAAATAAATAAAACAATAATAACACTGGTCAACAACAAATTTGTTGTCTGCATTTTTTCAGTTGATTTAGGATGAATCTGATGCGCTGAATCAAAAAATCACATTGGTTTTGCTCAATCAGGTCAAGTTTCTGAGCTATGGCCACATGTCATTTTTTTACGTTTTTGTTCACATGTACGCTTGTGTGGAGCATTTTAGAAGAAGTTGGTGGGTGTAAAATGCCATGTTGAATAATAGTTTTGATTGGAAATGATTATTTTAATGACATGAAGTATTCAGGTCCGATAGTTCTGGGTGATTATGTCGAAAAGGGATCAGTTTGAAGTCATAAAACCTCGAAATATTCCATAAATTGGTGCGGCAAAGCATAAAGTTGGGGGATCAAAACTAAGTTAATGGGGCAGCCGCCCCACGAAGTATCCTGATCTTCAATCAGCATGTTGTCCTGTAGCTCATTGTGATGAAATTCCAGTGCCTATCTTCAGAGAACTTCCTGACATTAGTGACGAAGATGCCTCCAGTGTTGAAGGACATGAAGAAGAAGAAGTGGTTCTTCAAGATGATGCTCCACATCCATTTTCCCAAAAGGAGTTGAATGATCTAGTTCATGACCTCAGCTTGTCAAAGGACTCTGCCAAACTGTTGGCATCCAGATTGAAGGGAAAAAACCTCCTCTCTGACAGTGCTCGCATCAGCTTCTTCCACAACAGGCATCAAGAGTACCTCCGTTTTTTCTCGAAAGAGAAGGGCTTGGTGTACTGTGCAGATATTGCGCAGCTTCTGCTCAAGCTTGGAGTGCCACAGTACGAACCCAAAGATTGGAGACTGTTCATTGACAGCAGCAAGCGATCACTGAAATGTGTTCTGCTACACAACGGCAACCAGTTTGCCTCTATACCCCTGGCTCACTCGAGTACACTGAAGGAGAACTATGAAGCGGTGAAGTATGTGCTGGAGAAAATTGGTTATGATCAGCATAAGTGGTTTATTTGTGTTGACCTGAAGATGGTGAACTTTTTGTTGGGACAACAGTCTGGCTTCACCAAGTACCCATGTTTTCTGTGCATGTGGGATAGTAGGGACCGTGCTCAGCATTACATGAAGAAGCACTGGCCTGTGCGGGAGAAATTGGTGCCTTGCAAAGAAAGGAACGTCATCAACAACCCTCTGGTGGACAGAGACAGAATACTCTTCCCACCGCTGCACATCAAGTTCGGCTTAATCAAGCAGTTCACCAAGGCTCTGGACAAGGATGGTGACCGCTTCACTTACTTGTGCCAGGCTTTTCCAGGACTGACCATGGAGAAGTTGAAAGCTGGCATCTTTGACGGTCCTCAGATCCGTCAGCTCATCAGAGATCCAGAGTTCAGAAAGTCAGTGAACGAAGTGGAACTGGAAGCGTGTTCTGGTAGTGAAGAACTTTCTTGGCAACAATAAGGCCAGAAACTACGCAGAACTTGTCAACAACATGCTGACTGCTTTCAGAAACCTGGGCTGCAACATGAGCATCAAGATGCACTACCTATTTTCACATATGGACCGGTTTCCTGAGAACCTGGGTTCAATGAGTGATGAGCAGGGGGAGAGATTCCATCAGGACATGAAAGAGATGGAGACCAGGTATCAGGGTCGCTGGGACGCAGTCATGATGGCTGACTACTGTTGGACTCTGAAGAGAGACCTCCCTGCCGCTGAGCATTCCAGGAGTTCCAAGAAACAGAAGTTCAAGCCCTGAAGTTTGAAAAATGGTGAAGCAATATGCAATTTACGTGTACTTACCTTTATCAATGCCCACCATTCAGTTTACAGTAAACCTGACCTGATGGAGAGAAACGGATGCTATTTCCTGATTCAGCAGTGCAAAAATACCCTAAATCAGTTGTAGAAATCTAGACAACATTCAAAAAGTAAAAAATTGTTGCCCAGTGTAATCTACCCATAATGACATTGTGTAAACAACCATGGTTTATGACGCATTCCATTCTGGACATGCAGGATAGATTTAGGTTCAAAAGGAAGATTGCCATTTCAAAGTACTAGTGGCCTGCAGCACTGATGTCAATATATGAATTAAATTCTTTTCACAAGATCGGAGCTACTGTGATTTTCCTACCCACCTATCAGCATGGCCCAAACATGGTGTTTGGATATGGGGTTAGGAGGGGACATTTCACCCAGGTCCAGAGGGCCTAATCTAGATTCAAGCTCATTTCCACAAGAGGGTCAGGGATATTATTTATGATTATGGACATTTAGGTAAACTTATTTCCTTCTGTCTATATAGAGTGACCAGACCTTATAAGACCTGTAGAATGAATCAGAAGCAATGTTTGAACAGAACAAGCAACATGCAGGATAGTGAGCTGCTACCCCATCTCCTCCTCTATAACACTGGGAGAGAGGGTGGGGGGGGGAGAGAGAGAGCGCTCTTGTACAATATATCCTATGAGTTCCAGAACATAGGAAGCTGCCTTAGAGCTCAGTACTGTCCACACCGACAGACAGCATTCCAGAGCTTCAGGCAGTGGTCTCTCCCAGCCCTCTCTGAAAAGTTAGGCATTGAACCTGGGACCTTAAGCATGCAAGGCAGATGCTCTCCCACTGAGCCACAGTTCTTCCCCAGAGACACAATGAGGTGTCAAATCCTTTGCTTCATGCTCTGTTTTCCTGTGTGGTTAGGAGGTGCCAACAAGGTGCAGCATTTGACTGGCAGCTGGAAAGAGGGAGCAGTACTACACTAACAAGGGGAACTTGAATCCCAGGAATAGTGGGAACCGGTGATGCTTACAGACCCCAGAGTATATGTGAGTCAACTGAGTTAGGCCTCTGGTTTCCAAAGTGCACAGGAAAACTGGCACTAGATCCAAGGAGTAAAGAACTGGGTCTAAAAGGCCATTGTAACTCCATACAGAATACATGTCATACTGTGCCATGTTCAATGGTAGATTAAAAACTAGGCAGCCATGAATATAAGGAATTTATATTCTGGGTACCCTTGTTCTAGATGAATAAAACTAGGGGGGGGGGGTGTATTCAGAAGCTGTAGTGCGAAAACCTTTCCTTTGATGAGCGTTAAACCTCAAATCAACATTTCCTGAAAGCTATAAAATAAGAATACCATGCAGCCTTTTCCCATACTGTTCAAGGAGCTATCAATAACAGCTCTTTCCAGTCAATGCTGTAAAATATATATATTCCTGTCTGCATAATTATTTACTATTCTTCCTATCACAGAAGAATCACACTGATATATTTTTCTAAGAGCTTAAAAACTGATCACCTTCACCTTCTAACTTTCTTTCTCATTTTATCTTTCTTCACTACACAGCAGACAATGTCCAACTCTTCAATAAACCACTCTAAGAAATTTTGAATATTTAGTGCTACTCATCTGAATTCCAATTTTCTCCTAAGAAAAACAAACTTCAGTTCCTCATTTTCCTATCCATTCACTGTAAGTGCTTCACAACTACATGTAACAAAAATGGATACTGCTTGTGAAATGGTCTCCTGCTTACTTAACAAAAGCTCATCAATAAATGCATAACTTTCAGTCATATTTTCAAAAATAAGAAAGAACCTTATTTAGCGTGTCAGTAAATTCTAAATACCACTGGCAGTATATCCATAGAGAGTCATTTAAACAAACTGAAAAGGAAGAAATACCCCTTTGTTTTAAAATAAATAAATGAATATTCCTTGTCATATATCTTTAGAATAAAGAAAGAACCAACCAACAGAAAGGTGAAAATACCACTTGTATGAATTGATTAGTCTGGAAGCAGCCACTTGTGTAATTAAGACGGGTCAGGCAAAGTTTCTTTATCAATAATCCAACAGCAAAATACTGCATAAAAATCTGGAGGAATGTCAGCTGAGGTGCACTCTTGAAAAAGAAAAGGAAGAAAGAAAACAAAAGGCTATTCCTGTATAAATCAATTAAGGCATTTTATTTTGGCACCCAAATGTCAGTATTTACCAAACTTGGATAGACAAGTCCATCCCTGCAGCCTGCGTTTGCAAATAACTTTACTCATTAATGTTTAATTAAGACAGAGGAAAACTGTCCTTGATATTTTGCTGCAATTAGTGCTCTCTATACCCCGCTGACTCTCCATGATGAATTACTTTTCAAATGGAAAGTGAAGTGATTAAATAAAGCTGAAGATTGTCTATCCCTTGCATGTTGTCCACTGTACACTTTAAGTAAATGTAAAAATATGAATGTGCACAGTCAAACTCCCTTGGGGAAAAAGAGAAAGGGGGAAACGAAACCATTGATGAGCAATATATTGCTGCCTTTCTCTACTCTAAGATACTGTTCCTTCTCCTTGTAATTTATACCGTCCATCAATATACATGATGTGCTTGTTAATTTGGAAAACCACAAACAAAGATTTGTTTGCTGCTTTGGGGGCAAACTTTGCCCTTGGGACCACAAATTTCAATCTTACCGATTTCAAGGTTGGTGCACAAATTAAGAAACGAAATGAGCCTTTGCCTTCTGCAAAAGGCAAGCAGAAATGCCATAGGAGACTTTATTGTGCCGTTAAGAATTTCTGATTGTTTTCAAGGTTTGCTGTGAGCTGAGGGGCATTTGAAGCAAATGAGTATACATGCTTCGAGTGCTTGGATGTGTAGGAAAACAAGTAAGAGACAAGATAAGTTATCCCAACACCATGTCCAACATTCAGTTTCAAAGGAGCATTGAATATTGTCTGTCCTTTACCTGAAAACACCATGTCAGGATGCTGTAATATTCCCAAGTGGAAGATATTTGTTGATTTCCAAACTTTCTATTTCCCTTCTACCACACCGTCAGCCTAAGGCCCACTGAAGAAAGCCTCCGCATTTCCCTTTCCTCATAACAGAGGAAACACTGGACGGGACTGAATAAGAAGACCAGAGAAAATTGCCATTTTCAAACCAGCACATCTGTGGAATGAGCTGAACCAATACAACTCATTTACTAGCAACCTGAAAATGATGGCTGTACGGTAGTGAGCATGCCAGCGGCAAGCACATCCTCACTTCTTACAAACAAATAATAGATGCGCTGGCAAAAAGGCTATCATTATGTTGGGTAGCATCCATGTGGAAGAAATAATAATAATAATAATAATAAATTTTATTTATATCCCGCCCTCCCCAGCCGAAGCTGGGCTCAGGGCGGCTAACAACAATCAAAATAATCCAGCATTCTAAAAACATTCATTATAAAATTAATTAAAATCAAATTGCTGGCAACCATTAAGCAAAATTCTGTGCAGATTGCCAGAGGAGGGGGTCAGACTGCGCCCTGGCCAAAGGCCTGGTGGAACAACTCTGTCTTGCAGGCCCTGCGGAAAGATGTCAGGTCCCGCAGGGCCCTAGTCTCTTGTGACAGAGCGTTCCACCAGATTGGAGCCGCGGCTGAGAAAGCCCTGGCTCTAGTTGAGGCCAGCCTAACCTCTCTGTGGCCTGGGATCTTCAGGATGTTTTTATTTGCAGACCGTAAATTTCTCTGTGGGACATACCAGGAGAGGCGGTCCCGTAGGTACGAGGGTCCAAGGCTGTATAGGGCTTTAAAGGTTAAAACCAGCACCTTAAACCTGATCCTGTACTCCACCGGGAGCCAGCATCGTTTCCAGGCCTTTGACCATTTTGGTTGCCCTTCTCTGGACACGTTGCAGTTTGTCAGTGTGCTTCTTGAACTGTGGTGCCCAGAACTGGACACAATACTCCAGGTGAGGTCTGACCAGAGCAGAATACAGTGGCACTATTACTTCCCTTGCTCTAGATGCTATACTCCTATTGATGCAGCCCAGAATTGCATTGGCTTTTTAGCTGCCGCGTCACACTGTTGGCTCATGTCAAGTTTGTGGTCAACCAAGACTCCTAGATCCTTTTCACATGTACTGCTCTCAAGCCAGGTGTCACCCATCTTGTATTTGTGCCTCTCATTTTTTTTGCCCAAGTGCAATACGTTACATTTCTCCCTGTTAAAATTCATCTTGTTTGTTTTGGCCCAGTTCTCTAATCTGTCAAGGTCGTTTTGAAGTGTGATCCTGTCCTCTGGGGTGTTAGCCACCCTTCCCAGTTTGGTGTCATCTGCAAATTTGATCAGGATGCCCTTGAGTCCATCATCCAAGTCGTTGATAAAGATGTTGAATAAGACCGGGCCCAAGACAGAACCCTGTGGCACCCCACTAGTCACTCTTCTCCAGGATGAAGAGGAACCATTGATGAGCACCCTTTGGGTTCGGTCAGTCAGCCAGTTACAAACCCACTGAGTGGTAGCATAGTCAAGACCGCATTTTACCAGCTTCTTTACAAGAATATCATGGGGCACCTTGTCAAATGCCTTGCTGAAATCAAGGTAGGCTACATCCACTGCGTTCCCTTCATCTACCAGGCTTGTAATTCTGTCAAAAACGAGATCAGGTTAGTCTGACATGACTTATTTTTCAGAAATCCATGCTGACTATTGGTGATCACAGCATTCCTTTCTAGGTGCTCACAGACTGTTTGCTTAATGATCTGCTCCAGAATCTTCCCTGGTATTGATGTCAGACTGACTGGGCGGTAATTATTTGGGTCCTCTCTTTCCCCCTTTTTGAAAATAGGGACAACATTTGTCCCAGTCTGCCGGGACTTCGCCTGTTCTCCAAGAAATCTCAAAGATGACTGCCAGTGATTCTGAGATCACATCTGCCAGTTCTTTTAATACTCTTGGATGCAGTTCATCTGGCCCTGGAGACTTGAATACATCTAAACTAGCCAAGTATTCTTGTACTATCTCCTTAGTTATTCTGGGCTGTGTTTCTCTGCTGAATCATTTGCTCCAAATTCTTCAGGTCGGGCATTGTTTTCTTTATCGGAGAAGACTGAGGCAAAGAAGGCATTGAGGAGTTCAGCCCTTTCTGTGTCCCCTGTTTGCATTTCACCATCTTCTCCTCTGAGTGACCCCACTGTTTCTTTGTTCTTCCTTTTGCTACGAACATACCCATAAAAGCCTTTTTTGTTGCTTTTAACCTCTCTAGCAAGCCTGTGTTCATTCTGTGCTTTGGCTTTTCTGACTTTGTGTCTACACGTGCTGGCTATTTGTTTGAATTCCTCTTTGGTGGTTTCCCCCCTTTTCCCTTTTTTGTACACATCCTTTTTTAATCTTAACTCAGTTAAAAGTTCTTTAGATAGCCACCCTGGCTTCTTTAGGCACCTTCCATGTTTCCGTCTCATTGGTATTGCCTGAAGTTGTGCTTTTACTATCTCCCTCTTAACAAACTCCCAGCCATCATGAACTCCCTTTCCTTTTAGTATTACTGTCCATGGGATCTCACCCAGCACTTCCCTAAGTTTTATGAAGTCGGCTTTCTTAAAGTCAAGAAATTGAGTCCTAGTATGCTTGGCTGCTCCTTTCCGCTGTATAGTAAACTTCAGAAGAGCATGATCACTCGCGCCTAATGATCCTTCCACTTCTACCCCACTAACCAGGTCATCAACATTGGTTAGGACCAGATCTAAAATGGCTGTTCCTCTTGTTGCTTCTCCCACTTTCTGGACAATGAAGTTGTCTGCAAGGCCAGTGAGGAATCTGTTTGACCTTATGCTCTTGGCTGAGTTTGACATCCAACAAATATC